CCTTGTCACCCCCCCGAAACTCACCTGGTCGGTTGGAGAAGAAACCCTCGAAGATGACGAAGTTGTTCACCTGGGGGGTTTAGGGAGGAAGGTTGGGGGTGAGGGGTTGCTCTGTCTGCCCCCCCCAGGGCAAATCCAGGGGATGATTTGCCACCCCCCAGGGTAATTCCTGAGGCTCTATCTCCCCATGGGGCAAATCCTTGGGGCAATTTGCCCCGCCCCCAGGACAGTTCTTAAAGCTCTAGCCCCCCTTGGAGCAAATCTGGGGGGTGATTTCCCACCCCCCCCAGCAGTTCCTGAGACTCTGCCCCCCCCTTGGGGCAAATATTTGGGGTGATTTGTGCCCCCCCGGGGCAATTCCCATGGCTCTACCCCAACCTGGTGAAGCCAAGAGACCATTTACTCCCCTGCCAGGAACAAGAATGGTGACAAATACCCGGGGTGAGGGCACCCCAGGAGGGCGAGGGGCACCCCAAGAGGGTGGGGGGGGCACCCCAGGGACGTCCCCAACGTGCGTGTGTGTGTCCCACCTGTGGGATGGCGTCGGCGAGGCCGTAGTGTTTGCGGAGAAAAGCCAGGAGCTTCTCAGAGGGTCGGTCGACGGCCAAACGCCAGGGTTCCACCCTCTCGCTCTGCAGTGGGGGGGGGTAAGTGAGCCATAGGGTGGTCCCCAATGTCTCTCTGTCCCCCCACCATGTGTGTGTGTGTCCCTTTTGGTCCCCCACCCCCCTCGTCACCTGCAGCATGTGCTGGAAAAGCTCCCGCCCGTAACCATGTCGTTGTAATGACTCATGGATGTAAAAATCCAGGACGCAAAGTGGCTCCGCTTCGTTGTGGGCACCATTACGGTCCTGGGGGGAGGACACAAAATGGCCGTGGGGGGGGACAAAATAGCCACCAGGAGGGACCCAGGCATCCAGGCACCCCCCCCCAGTCCCCCCAACACTCACCAGAAGGAAGAGCTTCTTGTAGCCCACCTTGAGGAAGCCGATGACGGCGCCTTTGGGGGTCCTGGGGGGGGACAGAAAAGATTTGGGGGGTGTCACTGGATGCCTGGGTCCCCTGTAGGGTGGGGAAAGGGAGGGGGGCTTGGGGGGGGACACAGACACACACAACACCCAGACGCTCACCCTCGGCCGTCGGTGTCACGGAGGATGTAGAGGACGTGGCGGTTGGCCTCCATGCGCGTGGCGCTGGTGACGGGGGCCGGGAGGCCCTGGGCCTGGGCGGGAAGAGCTGTTACTCCCCCAGTGCCCCCCTCTTAACCCCCCCAGTGCCCCC